TTCTTTCTTTCTTTCTTTCTTTCTTTCTTTCTTTCTTTCTTTCTTTCTTCTTTCTTTCTTTCTTTTTTGTTCTTTCTTTCTCTTCAGAGTTTCACTCTGTCACCTATGCTGCAGTGCGGTGGTGCAATCTTGGCTCACTGCAACCTCTGCCTCCCATGTTCAAGTGATTTTCATGCCTTAATCTCATGGGTAGCTGGGACTACAGGTGCCCACCACCATGCCAGGTTAATTATTGTATTTTTTTGATGAGACCAGGTTTTACCATGTTGGCCCGGCAGGTCTCAAACTCCGGACCTCAAGTGATCCACTTGCCTCAACCCTAGAGTGCTGGGATTACAGGTATGAGCCACTGTGCCTGGCCAGCCTGTTTTCAAGTTCCAGCATCTACTAGGTGACCCTGAACCCTGAGCTCCAGTAAGTCCACCTTTTCCTTTGTCTGTCCAGCCTAGAGATGATAATACCTTTATGCTTTTGTTAATCTTTGAGTTGCTTCATTGTTTGGTGACTGGTTTTTAAGCCTCTTCCATCACCTGCATTAAAATTTGAGTTGGTCTCTGGTCTCCTGGTTGGAACCTGACTGAAATACTGAGTAATCCAGAAACTGCCAAGTACATGGCACACAAGGTCAACTCTGGAAAAGAGAATGTCCTCATAACTTTAAGAAATAGGTGGGAGAAGGCTCTAGGGAAATCTTTACAAGTCAGCAGGATTCAAGGCAGAGTGGATAGAGATACAGCACTGCCAGATAGAATGCAGCTGTATCTCCTGCAATATATGAACTGTATAATTCTTTGTTGTGAGGAATGAATTGTTCATTATAGAATATTTTGCAATATTTGGGACATAAACATTATTCATCATTTATTTGAAATGCAAGTTTAACTGGGTGTCCTGGTTTTTTATCTGCTAAATCTGGTAATCTTCATAGAGAATAAGCTCATGTTGAGAGCTGGCTTCAATGTTAGACTGTGCCAGAATAAATATGGGAGCAGGCAGGACCAGTTTTGGAAAGAGAAATTGGGCATTGGAATTAGATCTTGATTGAAGTTTGTATTACAGGGTATAGTTATTGATTGTTACCAAGGCAATCATGAAGAGTGGATTAGTCCAATCAGAGGAATTGTGGGAATGAAGCTTCAGAAATAGAGCTGTGCATAAATGTGTGTGTGTGTGTGTGTGTGTGTGTGTGTGTGTACAAACATGAGTTACAGAGACTTGCCTGAAATAATGGCCCAAATTCAACAGTTGCTAGAAAATTATGAGGCCTCCCCAGCCATATGGAATTATAAGTCCAATAAACCTCTTGCTTTTGTAAATTGCTCTGTCTTGGGTATATCTTATCAGCAGTGTGAAAGCAAACTAATACAATAAATTGGTACCAGGAACGGGGTGTTGCTGAAA